ATAATGATGATAAAACCCTACAAGTTCATATTTTTTTATATTTACTTCCTGTAATGAACATCTCGTCAAAATAATAAATCAAGATGTTTTTATTTTTATAATATCAATCATTATTGAAAATTATAGTTGTTCTATTTGAAAATGATACGAAATAAATTAGCTATAAGATATCTAATAAACTAATAGGTAGTTTAGTGATCGAAAGTCAAAATAAGGATTCTTATTGTCTTATCCTGCCGACTACTAGGATGAAGTGAAGTAGTAGGCCAAGGCATAGCAGAAAAAAGTTGTTCTACCCCCAACTCTGCTTCGAACTAATACGTTTTTTTTCTTGTTCTATTTTGTACTTAACGTTTCGCATTCATTTTACTGGTTCGAGCAATGGGTGGTATATCCAGCGAACATTAATGATTAGATATCATTGGTTTTTTCTGGATCATCTTGCACCATCTTTTTATAGTATTAACTCTCAAGAAGCTATTCAAATCAGAAAAAATCTTGGTCGAATCAATACCATGTTCGTACTTTCAAAAAACAACTTTTCGATCATCTTTTCATTTTATAACAGACATAAGTTATATTTGAATAAAATATCATAGACAGGTTCTTGTAAAGAATAAGAATACGAATCTATTAAAAACCTCTCATCTGACAAAAAAAAACTAAGAATTAATAGAGATTTCAGTAAAATACTGATAGGTCCATTATTTCTCGGACACCACTTATGTTCAATATTTGATGTGTCCGTGTAAGAATATTATTTAATGAATAAATTGTTGAGAATGATAAATGGTTTGATGAATGCATCAGTCGGAATATTTTAGTTTTGACATTTATTTTCGAAATGATTCATTTGTCACTGTAAAGCATCGAACATCCACTAACCATCTGATAACCACCACGAGTATGCAAACTAGTATAATTTGCGCTATGCCAGTGACTTTTTTTTCGTAATAGCATTCTGTCATGGTGTAGTGTCAAAACGAGTGAACATTTTTGAAAGTGACAGAATCGAATTGTTTTTAACATATTCTGATAATGTCAATGGGTGAGAATCATCTGTATTAATAACAGAGCCCAAATCAACCTTGGTTATGAGATCAATTTGTATTTAATGTGGCGCTATGAAAATTTCTAATTCTAAGATTTATCTTAAAACTGTTCTTATTTCCGTTAATTTTAATTCTTTCTAATAAATAATTTGACTTTGGATAGCAAACATTGCAATCGTTTCTAGCTGAAACTGAAACTCGCATCTGCTATCAATGATAGTACGAATAAATGTGCAACTCGGGTAGGTAAATCATTTACAAAGACTTCGATTTCTTCCTCAAAAAAAGAACTCCATGGAGTCATATCTAACACAGTCAATTGTATATACGTTAATGTTCATGCATTCTCCACAATTTATGTAACATGCTTTATATCTTCGATCAATTGTTACACGTTATAATTGAGTTATAAATCTTGTATAGAATTTTTCTAATGAAAAATTCATTAAATCAATTGATTATTGATTGGAGTAGGAACGATGAACAGTATAGTTCTTTTTCTATATTATCAATTGATGATGTAATATATCGTTGCGAAACACAAAAGAATAGTTAATGATGTAAAGAATAATTTCTTCCATTCTACAAGAAAAATAATGCGTTTATTCTGAATGTAACTGACTGATTCAATAACAAATAATTCAATGATACGCATTTAAACAGGATTGAAGATATTTATTATAAATTATTAAATTATACAAAATAATTCATTTGTTCTTAAAATCATAATTTCATTTACAAGTAGTTAAATATATATCGTCATTTATATACAGGATTGATTCATTACAAAATTAATTATTATATAAAATGATATATTACGAATTTAACTAAGGAAAAATTAGCTTTAGACAAGAATCATAGTCTCATTTCTACAACTGAAATGAATCCTCAAAGTATCCGATGTCATCTTGACAATATACATGTCATTATATTCAAAAAAAAATGCTCTATATTTTCGTTATACTAAATGAATGAATGTTGAAGGAAACTATAGATTACAATATTTATGCATAGCAAACCTCCTCGCTTTGTTTTTTTTTTTCTTTGGTTGTCATCAATAGAATAGTATGGTTAATTTCTTTGTTGCAAAAAAAGAAAGAAACAAATCATTTGACAATAAATGAATTTTTTTATTCCTTCTTCTGATGTCCTTCAAATAACATTTGATTGTTCTTTTTATGGTTTCATTTCTTCTTTTTTTTTTTTTTGTAAAGGTAATTGATTTTTCAGAAAAAAAAAATAAAATATACAATCAACTCATTTTGATTTCAACATGGCAAAAAGCAATAAAAATTTTTCTGATGTATCATATTCATTAAAAATTGGTTCTTCTACATATGATGTTTTACGTCGTCGTATGAAAAATTTAAAATATAATAATAATAACAATTATGTTCTTGCTGAAGACGCATCTATTCGTTGTAAATCAGCTAATATTTCAAGAACATCATTTTCACCTAGCCAACGTTCAAAATCTCCAAAACGATCTATTTCGCCGGAACGTCGACCAAAGACAAGTCATTGTCGTCGAGTAAATAATGACATTTATCTTCCCAATAAACAACAAGAACAACAACAAATATCGAATCAAATACGTCATCGCCGTTATACTCCACTGAAACATAAAAAGACTAATCAGACATCGGATAAAACGGTAAAAACTGATAAGAAAGTATTGACTGATGAGCTTTGTCAAAAAACTACTAAAGATAAACACTCTTCTGTTAAATCAATTCAAAAGAAAAGAAAAACATCTATAGAAGCAACGATAAACAATCAAAAACACGAAATAATTCGAATTTTTAATGAACAAAAACAATCACTTGCTCAGTTACTTGAGCAACATATTGATACAATTACTACATCTTCAATAAATGTTATTAAACAAATTGCTACAGAAACATTAGAATCTCAAGAACATATATCAACAAAAGAACTCAAACATACTTTAATTCAAGCAATACAACAAGAATTACAACAAACATTACCAAAAACTATGGATAAATCTCAAACAAATTCACTTGATGTTAATACATTTAATCGATTAGAAGATATTCTTACACAAACCATAGAAAAATATATTACAACAACAAATAAAAATGATAATGTTGCTTTAAGTAATTTATTTACTGAACAAAAACAAGTTTTAGTTGATACATTAACACAACAACGATCAACACCATCTATTGATCTTATTAAACAAGCAGTTATTGATGCTCTTAGCGAACATAATTCTCGATCTATGACTCCTAATACTAGAACCAATATAACAAATCATCGTAAATCCCATACTAAAATTACTAATAATGACGTTAAAATCACTGCTAATCTAAAACAAACACGCGTCGATGCAGCTTTTCGACAACAACGTGATACGATTGTTGCTAATCGATATTTACGTGATACTGTACGAAAATGGTCAAATGTTCATTCAATATCTTCTCTTGTGAAAAAAATTCAAGCATGTGGTACAAATGATTTTGAAAATGTTTGGTTACTTTTTTGTTGGATAGCTCAAAATATATCTTATGATAGTTATTGTGAAAATTATTCAGCTGAAAGTGTTTTTCAAAATCGAATAGGTTCATGTCAAAGTTTTGTTAATCTCTATTATGAATGTTGTTCATTATTAAATATTCAATGTTTGAAAATTACAGGTTATATTAGAGAAAATTTTCTTAAAAATAATGAAGATTTAAAAAACTTTTCACATTCATGGAATGCTATTGTACTTGATCAATATACATATTTAGTTGATCCAACATGGGGTGCTAATACTAATTATCATAATAGAAATCAAATTCAAGATTATTATTTTTTAACATCATCCGAAGAATTTATTTATACACATTATTCAACTGATTATCAATTACTTCAACCTGAAATAACTAAAGAAGAATTTCTTAGTTTACCTGTAATTAAATCAAATTATTATAGATTAAATTTAAGTTTATTAACACCAAAACAAGGTTATAATCAAACAGATGAAAATATATTTAAAATTTCTATAAAAACACCTGCATATGTTGACTTATATGCATCATTAAAAATCGATACTATTGAATATCCATGTCATCTACATACTTTATGTCAACGTGATATAAATCAAACAGATACAATAAATTGTTTTCTTGCTCCACCAACGGATGGACTTTATGAAATAAGAATTTATTCAAAAACAAATCATGAAACAACATATCAAGATACGATTTATATGCGATTAAATGTATTAAATATGATTCAAGCAATTACTTTTCCAATAATATATCAATCATTTTTGGAATATAAATGTATTTTAATTGAACCATTTCGACGTCTTGTGCATAAAAATGAATATTTATTTATTCATATGAAAATACCTGATGCTATTTTAATTAAAATTAAAAATGGTGATGATTATATTATACCAAATAAAGATGAATATAAAAATGGATTATTAAAAAAAGAAATTCATGTTCAAGGTGATCTTCATGTATGTGCACAATGGAATGATAAAACTAATCGACAAATATCAACAATTTGTGTTTTTAATATGATTTAAAATTTTCTTTTCTTTTTTTTTTTTTTTTTTTTCTTTGAATAAATCATAACAAAAATGTTTATGTCTAAACGATTTCTGGTGAATAAGAAAA